GATCTCACCACGATCAGAAAGGAAGTCCTTATGGCCAGCTTCAGCAAGCACCTTTTTAGGCTTATTTTACCTGGTCTTATTGTGTCAAAAGATACCCACCTCTCTATCCTTTAAATCTTCACTTTCGTTGGCTTCTGTGGTGTCATTGTCTGTGGGACCTCTTCCAGTCTCTTGAACTTCTGTCTCGGGCTTCTTGTTTAATTTCCTTTATTCATATATTTGTGTCCTGTGGATCCCGTCAGTAGCACTCTTTTCCTATAACCTACTTTGCCCTTTACCCATTGTCACAGCCACCTACCAACTGTACCCCAGATACTACCAGGGCTGTTTTTCTAGCTTCAAGCTCTCTTCTAAATGATATACTTAATATCTACCACTTGGTGGAGAATTCCTCTAGTTTCTTCTTGAATGTCTTAAATATTTTCTCTTCTAGCTCTCTATTCCTTCATGCTTAATAGTATCAACATCTTTCACAACTACCAAAATTAGAAACTTTCACTTGTCCAAGTCCAATAAACAGATTCTTTGACACTATCTCCTAAAATTAGTTTGCCACTAAGGAGATTTAAATTATATCCTAGCTCTTCCTCTAATTAGTTTTGATCTCTGAAACGTTCCTTCTGGGTCTCAGTTTTTTTCATCTTTAAAATGTTTGAACTGTATCCAAAGTTAGCAAGTAGGGCCTGGGGCCAAATGCAGTCCACTGCGTATTTCTGTAAATAAATTTTTGTTTGTGGCTGCTTGGTGCTGCAGTGGTAGGATTGAGTAGTGACAGACGCCCTATGGCCTACAAAGCCTAAAGTAGTATTTACTCTCTGGCACTTCACAGAAAAAGTTTGCTACCCCTGGACTGCTAGAGAATTTCCCACCTCGTTATCTCTGTTAGCTAACCTGGGAGAAGCTGGTTTTAAGATTAAAAAGTAAGAAGAATCTAAAAAATGATTACAATAGTTGAATATTTGGCAAGAGAAATTAAAAATAGAACATACTGTGACATTAGGATCTCTGTTTCCCCATCGAATAGCCTTAGTGAATCAAGATCATGTGGCTATAACAAAAGAATAAGACCTCCATTGCCACTTTGTGGTGACAAATCTATTTGGTTAATTGCTTTTATGTAATTCATAGTGAATAGATAAGTGATTTCACTTAATAGTTAGTAATTTAAACTTCTCAAAAGTCAAAAATTTCCAGATTCTGAAGATAAAGATTAGTATTGTAACTCTGACCACCAGTTACGAGTAGAATTAAGAATCTTTTTATCACTATTCACCAAAATAGATGATTTGCCATTTTGATAAAAAAAATTTCCACGTGCATGCACTTGTATACATTGAAGGAGGGTTCTAAGTTTGTAAAATATGCTTAGATTAAAAATTCATAAATTTTGAACCTTAACTACATGTATGCTGATATGTACTGATGTCTGCAGCTGGCTGAATTGCATCAAAAAGTAAGGTGGATTCAAGGATGGATAGAGGGATGGAAATGTGATGAAACAAATAGAGTAAAATGTTAGTTGTAGAATCTGGGTAGTTGGTATTAAGGCAGGGGGTTTATACTATAAAGAAAAAAATGAAACTTTTCTGTATGCTTGAAATTTTTCATTGAAAATTTTGGGGTACATGTTCTAGGTCTAAGTGACTGTGAGACGGGAATTTAGGGAGAAGGATATAAAAGTGAATATACATACATGTTGTATAACTTCTTGATGTAATATTAACCTTGTGTATATATCATATGTACATGGCAAACATTGTGTATATGTCTGTTCTGTGTATTTCACAGGTTTATTTCCATTGGGAATGTTCTTAGATTATGTAAGAAACGTATAAGAATTGTAACATTCACTTCAAGGAGCATCATGCCTTTTCATTACAGTTTGTAACTCTTGAAGTCTCTCACACAATCCCTAAAGGAAAGTTAGCCAAGTGGCTGATAAGTCCATGTGATCTCTCTCCATACAGTACAAGGGTACATTTACTAATGGACATCATACAACTCTCATTCCTTTTGACATTCTTACCAACTTGGAAGGAGTTAGGACTGTGTCTTTTGTTAACAATATACTGAATAAATAGAGAGGAACTGCACAGCAAAATGCTCACTGATTCAAGAGTGGGCATTTCTTAAGTGTCATTTTGTTTATTGTGAAATATATTAGAATGCAAAAACATCCCAGTCACACTCCCTCCTCCTCCATCTTCTCTGTTAAATTAAGTTATCTATAAATAAACTATGCAAACTAAAATATGTTTAGTGTTGCCTGTTTTTAAATTTTGGGTAAAGCAGTCATATTATGTATATTAATTATTGAGTGAAAACTCACCACTACATGAAATTCACCCATAAGTTATGTGTGGCTTTGGTTCATTCATTTTCCTTACTCGTTAGTACACCACTGTATGACTGTCTCACAATTTATGTATTCTACTGTTGGGTGTTTGTTTTTGCCCACAATAGTTTTTTATTATGAACTATGTTGCTTTGCATGTGTACTTAAGCACTCGAAAGATTCCATGGAGCCACAATTGGAGGGGCAGTCAGGTTTCCTAGTACATGTACACACACACACACACACACACACACACACACACACACATATTCACTCGCTCACTCTCTCTTTACCAGGGGTTTAATACAGAATATAAGTGATTTGATTTTATTTTTTAATGAAAACTAAATTAAGATTCCTTTTTAGCTTTCACATTTGACGTATGGGTAGTTCCTGACTTATAAATATCCAATACCTGCAGCTACAAACTCCAGAGATTTCTCTTCCCAGTACTAGATACATTGTCTCTCTCTATAAAGCTGAAATTCTACAAGAAGAGAGAGAAGTTGTATAATTGGAGATATGTTTCCAGTGTTCCCAGAGTGAGTTTCTGCCAGAACAGTGTTAGAAATAGAAGTTGGAGTAATGTGTTATAACTTAGATTATTTTTACACATCTTTTTCTTTTCTTTCCAATAACAGGAGTTTTCCTCAGAAATTCTTATACTACAGGTAGTTTATATTTAATTAGATTCCTTTTTGATTTATATTGAAAAATAATACTATAGCTGTCTAGCTTAGTGAATGCCCTTTCCACCTATCTTACTTCAACTTTAAGTATTCTAACCTTTAAATAATTTCTGACAGTTTTTATTGCAGGTATGATTGACAAATAATAAAATTCACATACTTAAAATACACAGTTTGCAAACTTTTGACATATGTATACACCCATGAAACTATCACCATGAAATCAAAATAAAGAGCATATCACCCCAGTAATTTCTTCATACCTTTTTGTAATATTCTCTCCAGCCCCTCAGAACCATGGATCTTTCTGTCACCATGACAGAACATTTTCTAAATTCCATATGAATGAGATTATATCATGGGTACTCTTTTTGGTCTGGTTTCTCTTATTCAGTATAATTATTTTTAGATTCATCTGTATTGTTCTTTTTTATTACTGAGTAGTATTCCATTTTATGAATATGCCACAGTTTGTTTATCCATTTTCTTATTGTGGCCACTTGAGGAGTTTCCACTTTTTGGCAGTTGCAAAAAAGTTACTATGCATGTTGTTTAAAAGACTTTGTATGGACATGGGCTTTCGTTTCCTTTAGGTAAATATCTAAATTGGGTGGGAATGATGGATGTATGTAAAGCATATGTTTAACTTTTTAACAGACTGTCAAAGTGTTTTCTAAGGTGCTAAACCATTTTACACTTCCACCAGCAGTGGATGAGTTTCAGTTGCTCTACCTTCTCACCAAGACTCGGTATATGTAGTCAGTCTTTTTTAATTTTAACCTTTTATGTGTATAAGTGCTATATTGTAGTTTTAATTAGCATTTCCCTAATGATGATAATGTGAATATCTTTTTATGTATTTATTTGCCATTTCTTGTATCTTTTTTTGGTGAAGTGTCTGGTCATAAATTTTGCTCATTTGGATTTGTTTGAGAGTCCTGTGCGTATTCTAGATACAAGTTCTTTGCAGAATATGTATTTTGCAAATATGTTCTCTCATTCTATAGCTTGTCTTTTTGTTTTCTTAAGAGTGTCTTTTGAAGAACAGAATTTTAATTTTTTTTTAATTTTGGTAAAGTTCTAAAAGTTTTAATGAAGTCTAAAGAATTAGAACCAGCAACAAAAATCCCTGAAATTCTCGCTTTTCCCTGGCTTGCCACCACATATCAAGTGCTTATCATTATGTTTCACTCCTTCTGTGCAGCTATCCTTGAATTATAAATGGCTTATTATTTTATTCAACAGACTTGTTTTATACCGAGCCCAAGAATTATAAAGATGAGTTGTATATATTCTTTCTTCGGAGTACTCATTTTTAGTGTTGAATGTTTCTACCCATTATCTGTCTTGGCAGCCAAGTCCTTATTCTTCTTTTGTACAGTGTCTACTACAGCTCAAAAGACCATGAAGTGCTTAATATATTCTTATCTTGTATTGTAGTTATACTTTTTTCCACACACAAATATGTAAGCTATCATAACAGGGAATCTCTTTTTCTTTGCATCCTCCATATATCATTGTGTAGTTCCTTATAAATAGAGGACAATTGCTAAATATTTAATGATTTATTGGAATTATTGGACCATGTTTGAGCAGGATTCTCCTGAGTTATTTTTTAATAATAAAATGTTTGGCTGTACTCTACTAAATGAATTAAAGATACTCTCATTTCATATGCCATCATTGCAGTAGATTTGTTTTTCTAGATAGAATGAAGATTCGTGGTTTTTACTTGAATATTTTTTAATGCTCTTTTTTACAACCCTGATTTAAACATCATTATTATCTTAAAATTCTGTTAGAGTAATATAGCATGGGAACTGTAGTCAGCCAAAAATTAAGTCTTTCACAAAGTCTGATCTACTTAATGAGTTATCTGTTTTATAACTTTGGAATTTCTTTTTCCAGTTAAACCATAAAGACTATATTTGTAAGTGCATAGAAAACTGTGGCAATAACTTGCTTTCTTTACCTAGGTCCTGGGGACACCAACAAGGGAGCAAATTAGAGAAATGAATCCAAACTACACAGAATTCAAATTCCCTCAAATTAAGGCACATCCCTGGACTAAGGTGAGTCAAAGAGAGTTAAAAACAAAAAACACCAATAGTTAACTAAAAGTTGAGTTTCTCATTGTTCTTAAAATAAACTGTTTTGACACTAGGTAGGTACCTGAGTACAAAGTAAATGACAGTTCTGCATGTAAAAATAATTGGGTAGTTGTACTTCAGTGTTTCATTGGCTGCAAGTAGTTCATTCTAACTGATTGCTTATAGACAATTTCCAGCCTGGGTTTGTATTTGTAGGGTGAGGACAGTGTACCTGTATCATTAAATATAGAATTTTATTAGGTGCAGGATCTTATATGTAAGTTTGACTACTTAAAATTCAGAAGTTATTTCTTTACATAGAGGAACTTATTAGTTCAGTAAGTTCAATAACAGCATATGAAAACATACATTTCATATATTTTCTTTTTTAAAGTTATTTTTATGTAGACTTTATTGTAGATGATGCTGTGTGTTTTTTTCTTCTCGTTTGCTCTTCCTGTTGGGGTTTTTGGAGCAAGAATAAAAAGCATATTTGATCTTGCTAGGAGGATACATTGAAAGCAGTCAATACATTCATAGGATGTCACTGGTCATTGGAAAGCTGAACCTCAGCTAGATGGAACCAATTCAGAGAGCAAGTACTAATTTACCAGAAGATTTATCTTTTGCTTTGATACTTAATTGAAATGATTTTATGAGCTTTTTTATTAAAAAGGTTTTTTTTCATCTCAGTTTTATTTGTGAGATTAAGTGTACAGAGAGAAAAAAATACCTTATCAGGATTTATAGCTTAAGTGAATCTCTAGCTTCCTCATTTTAGATTCAGAGATACCAGGTGACTCATCCAAGATTATACAGATGACTGTGACAAAGCCAGGATTAATCTGTGTGTATTTGTGTGCATTTGTGTGTGTGTGTTTAATGCCAGATTTTTAAACTTAAGTTATGTAAAAACGTAACTCCCATGTTTACTTGTATTTAATTATATATTTCTGTGGGTTAGAAATGTTTGACCTTTCTATGTTTTTCAAGCAGAGACCTTCTGTATTTAAAATTGTACATATAACAGTTTTAAATATTGATAAGTTCATTTAATTGGTTATAGATCCTTTATAAGGTGAAATAATTTAGGGCTATAAGTAAAATAGTTTTCATTCCCAGATTCAAAGTATGTCTCTTTTTCTCTCTAAATTGTATTATGATACCAGTTACTTTCCTTGAAGTTCTCACAATCTTATTACCTCTCTACACTTCAGAACATTTCTTGTTGCTAATTATTTTTAAGACTCAAGCACCTTAGTATTTCAGTGCCAGAATTCTAGTTTGTAGCTTTCACTTAGCAGCAGTATATTGCCCTCTCCCACCTTTTTAAAATTTATAATAGCACTAAATATTCTGTGATAAACCATTCGATGATTGTACTTAAAGTTTATTTTCAATGTGGGTCAGAAGATAATTAGGGTCTCTCATTCTGGCTCTAAACTCAGAGAATCCTAGGTGGCCTATTTGGGTTTAAAAGGCTGAGTTGCAGTTTGAATATAGAGTTCCTGACCAATATAATGCTAAAATTGAAGTCATGAAATATTTAACACTCTCAATCCTCTTTTTTTTGTTTTTAATCAAGACTGCCACTAATATTAGTGTGTGTCATATTCTGCATTTTTCTCCCCTAGATTGTATCTTTTCAAGTATTAGCCAGGATGGAATGTGAGGAGTTGATTTTAATTAAAATGCAGCTAACAGATTTGTGTTGAATTTGTATGTTTTACACCTTCCTTTGCCCTTGTGGATTTCTGAAATTTCTGTATCTTACACTAATACTTTTCAAACTTGAATTATCTATGTAAGGCCCTTTTATTTGTTTTAGTTTGGTTTTCATTCCTGTACAATATGTAGAATAATGACTCAATTCTCCCACCTTTTTTGTCCAAACTACTGTGAACTCTTCATGGTGTGCCTTAACATAATTTGATTTTCACTTCATATAAATGGTTTTATTATGTAATAAGTACACTTATGTTAATTTCTCATCAGTGTACTCAGCTAGGTTGGTGTTACTCTGTAAACACAAAACCAAATTCAAATGCAGAAATTCCATGGCACTACTCTGTCATTGAGATGAATTTAAATAACCCAGAATATGCTTATGCTGATTTTTAAAAATAGGTTATTATCAAAATAAAATTATCAAATTTAAGATTTGTAGAGGGAGCTCAGTCCTCTCAAGTCTCCATTGTGATAGTGGAAATGTTCTCTCATATTAGGTAGCCATTGGAGTTACTTTTTCTTTAATTCATAATCTTTTTCTTCATAGAGAAGAGTTTCTTGCCCCTGGAGGGCAGGTAAACAAGAGTCTGGAAGCGAACACCACTTTGCCTTTACTGTGGTCTTCTGTTAGAACCTACTTAGCCCCATTTCCTAAAGCTGTGGGCAGTGTAGTACAGCTGTATCCCCAGGATTGGCAGCCTGTCTCAGAAAAGCAGACAAAGAGGAGAACATGTCTTCCACAGAAACATCGAGAGTGAGAGATTCAGTATGTAGGAAAGATATCAAACAGGAGAACAAAACAATGAGATGAGCCCAGTGTGGTATATGGCAGGAATCTTGAGAATTTAGAAATCTGGTAAGTTGCCGTGGACTATTTACTTAGTAGCCAGAGCCACTTAATTGATAAAGCACTGAGGTTTCAGTAGGAATGGAAGTAGTGCTAATTTTTTGAAGAAGGGACAATTAATGGGAGTGGGGATGGGGAGGATAAAAACCTCTGTGTTGGGTGTATACTGTTCACTTCAAAGAATGAAAACCAGATGAGAAACGAAAGGAAGTGATACATAAGTAGACTGAGAATTAGAGACTGGCTGGAAGAAAAGAGGAAGCTGAAATTCTGCATTTAGTACATGGGGGTATGTTTAAATGAGTCTTTTAAGTATGAAGGGAGGATCTAGTTTAAGTGCCACTCCTGTTTCTGCCTCTAGTTTTTTCTTTTGTAAGATAGTGATTAGGTATTGTATGTTCTCTCTGGATTCTTTTGAAATTATAAAGTATACATATAAAGCATTATTTCATTTTTTCATTTTAGTTCTGAATAAGTGTAAAGATTCTGCCTCCAGTATAGTAGTTTCATGCTTTGTCCTGCCCTGACTTTAGTTGAGGCCATCATCATGTCATAGAATTGTTAAAACTACCTCCTGCCTCTTCATCAGATTTCCTCCTTAAGTTTCACATCCTCATTGCTGTCACAGTGAACTTTCTTGAAAGCACAGGTGATACTGTCACTCCTATTTAAAATTCTCAGATTCTTCATTGCCTTTAAGAAAACTTGATATAACATGTGGATAATGATAAGGGTGATCCTATGTCCCAATTTATGCTTGTTCAGTGTAACTAATTGTTTCACTCTTAACAGTGTTCCATTTTGAATAACCGATTATACAGTTACTTTGTTCCTGTTTTACCGTTCCTTTCTAGAAAAACAAGAGATTTAGTTCTTATCTCAGTGGTAACCTTCTCTGAGGCATCTAGTCCTTCCAATCCAGGCTGTTTCCCAAGTTCTCCAGCAGCTCCAACTTAAGGGGCATATACTTAGGCAATGAATTTTAAAGTAATGTTTAGTTAGGGTAGATTAGGGATTTCTAATAAGGTTATATTGTAAAAAAAATGAGTTTTTTCCCCATTAGAGTGCTTGATTCTGCTAACCTTTTGCGTAAAGTTCTTCAAGACAAGTATTCCTCCTTACCCTTTATGAAGCATTTCAAAAAAACATTATCCACAAGTCAGTACTCACATACTTGATTTCTTAAAGCTATGTCCACTTAAAGCATATTTGCATTTACATCTAGCAAACAGGAAGCAGAAAATTAAGTTCAAAGTCATTTCTACTGTCAGAGAAATCAGACTAGACTGAAAAAGTTATATTTATTATTTTCTATGCATAAAGCTAAACAAACAGTAAAACCCCACTATATTTACTTCTTTTTAAGACTTTCTTCATGATCTTATATTTTTTTCTGAGCCTTTCAATACAAGTTTTTTCATTTGGTAGATTTACTTATTCCAACTAGAATTTAACACATTATCCAAAATGCCTTTAGAAGGACCTACAGAGTACGAAACAAAAAATTGCTGTCAGACGGTTTTTGGTAGGTACACTCTCTCTACCTTTTCTGGACTCTCTGCCTTACTCAGTTTGTTCACATGTATTCCAGAAAGCATAAAACTGTTGGGGATTTCTGTTGGTTCCTAAGGTTGCCACTTATCTGTTTTGTTCTTTTGCTTAGGTAAATCGGTACTATCACTTAACCCCCTCTGTCCTGAACATTCTCCTAATCCATTATTACATGTCTCATAAATAAACTGTGTTCTCTACGGAGTTTCTGCCTACATCTTTATTAGTGTTAGAATAATCACTTCTCTTTTTCTAACATCCATTTTCCTATGTAAGTAGATGTCCTCACTTTTCTGTTTATATTAGCTATACTCCCAATTCTTGACTGAAAACTCTGCTATTAAAATCCAGCTACTAGGGTGGCTAATCCATATGTGAGAGGAATAATATTTAAAAAAGAGTACTAAGACATAAGGTTCAAGATCACTTGTAGGGAGCAGAGGATAGGGTTAGGGGTAGATTGAAAAAGAAAGCAAAAATCCACTTTTAATTTATCAGTTGTTCTTTAAAACCCGTATCTCCCATGTAACCAGGGCTGTGCTGGATACCATAAAAGGATGCAAAAGAAGTGAAGGATATAGTCATTGTCCTTGAAAAGCTTACAGGTGATATAACTGACTTAGTTGAAGCCAAGTATTACATAATACATAACCATTTACTCAGTTATGTGCTGCAGATGTTCAGAGGTGTTTCACATGCTGTAGGTATTTGGTATTATAAGGCAGCTCTCCAGTGAGAGTGGTGGAGGGAAAAGGAAGTATTTTTAAGATGATACGACTGGGGTGGGGTGGGGTTGTTGAAAGAGGATTTGGATTTGCTTAGTTGTAGATAAGGTTAGGAATTGTAGCCCAGTGGAATATCCCTTAACAGGAGCAGGTGTGAATGAAAAGGATATATTCCCATATTTGTAGGAAAGTCAGCCTGTCTACAATAACTATTTTATGAACAATGAGAGATTAAATTGGGTAAGTGGACATTTGGTAAATCACACTTTTGTGTAAGCCTGTAGTACTATTTTATCAGTGAATTATGTTGGAGAAATTCCATTGCATAGTCAAATGCTGCTATCAACATGTATATGTAATTTTTCTTATGTGTAGTAAAGCTCAGGAAACTCAGTAAGCTTTTAAATTAGTACAGGTGAAATTTATTGAATTCTAGCTCTTGTGGCTAAGGAAGGGCTCTTTGTGTTTCTTATGAATTATGTACTACATATGAGCACTTAAGTAGACTTAAATTATTAGTTAATTAACTTGGTTAATTAACATAATTAACGGTTCAACAAATTCATGGCATTGTCTCACTTTAATCCTGTATTTAGGTTTAAAAATTGAAAACAATTGTAGATGATTAATAGGTTACTTGAGAGCCAATATTGGGGTTGTTCTTTAGGGGTTTTCATGGTTTATCAGTTTTTAACATTGGGTGCTTGTGTATTTTGTGCATGACCAGAGAACAGTGTCTGTGTTGTACATTTATCACAATGAAAACTGTGGAGTGAGTAGGTGCTGTTCAAGTATTGTGAAGCAGCAATAGGCCTTGATGTGGTATTTAAGATTATTTATAAATGGTAATTGTAAAAGGCTAAAGATTTAGTCATAACAATTAGCTCCAGGTTGAAATTTGATATTTGAAAATTGCCTCTGTCATTTTTGAGTTATCCAAATGCAAATTTATTTTCAATAATTTAAGGATTCATTTGCATTTATTCAATACCACAAAGAATTTTTTTTTGAAAAAATAAATTTTTTCTGTTGGTTTCTTCTATAGACTAGTATTTGTGATGAGAGTTTGTTTCAATTTAAGAAAATGAGTTAAATGAGTTGCTGCACAGGTGAGGTAGTATTTGAACCATTTAAAAGTTCATGTCAGTGTTTTGGTTCTTTTAACTTTTTCCTTTCTTTCTTTTATTTATTTACTTTTTGCTTTGTTCTGTTTTGTTTTACAAATTTACTTTTTTTTTTTCAAGTTTTTACTAGGGGTGTTTTGGGCTCTTCATGGCCTTGCTAACATACTTGGCTGGCCATATTTAGTCTGCGCACTAATTGTTAGTTGGCCCAGTTGAGTCTTTACTTTGTGCTCTCAGTTTTTTTAGTCTGGTTTTCTATTTTTGTCCACCTGGTTGTGTTTTAGTTCATGAGAGAATTTTTTTCTGATGGGCCGGATTTTAATCCGTGTACTAAATTTTAGTCTGCAGACTAAAAGTAATCCGCGGATTATTTATTTTTGCAAAATATTTAATTCCCCCACTGGAAACTATCCTAAAAGAATGTTAAATTCTCTTAGAATAGCCAAGGGAATTCACAGCTACTGGTGAGTTCTGCCTTTTTTTTTATTGTCAATACCTAGACATAATAGACCATACGACCTCCCTTGCATATTTGGCTCCGTTGTGCCTAGGTGTTGGTGTACATCACTTTGCATGTCACCTATAACTGTGACTGTCCCTTAGTTGAATTGTTTATTGTATATTTTTTTGTTTAGCTTTTGGTGGGTGAATTGGGCATATTTGCAGATGGAACTGTGTTGATTTGTAGTGCTCAAAGATGTAGGATTTTTTTCTCAGTGAGTTTTTCCAAAAAGGAAAGAATGTTCTTTACTTATTTTTCCTAAGTAATGGGTGCAAGGGTATGAGGGGGCAAAGCCCACAATAGAAAAAGTGAGTTTATACCCGCACTCCTGAGGTGATTTGTCAATTTCCTTCAAGAGTCCTAAGATAATGAAAATGTCAGCAAATATCTTTTAGCAGGGAAGTCAATCCAAAATGGAGAATAATCCGCGGTGGCCTGATCCTTCTTAGTTCACACAAATTGAAAATATCTGGCTTGAAATCTATAGTAATATAAATTAAATATATTTATTACTTTCTTCTCATCACTTATAATTTAGCAAAAAAAATGTTTATACTGTGTAACTGGAAAACATTAATAGAGAAAAATTAGCATATTGGGAACTCATATCTTTAAAAGCAGGCTAATAAGCCCCCTCCCAGCCATGTCAATGGATGAAGAATCCAGGTCGCAGAAGACCAAATACTTTACTTTGGGAACTTTACTTCTAGATTTCATTTTGATTTTAACTTTTTTTGGTTTTGTATTTTTTTAATAAACGCACTGGCATTGGAACATAATAAACTAAAATGTTTCTTTATTGTGCCTCACCATTGCGCAATCAAAATTTTTTGCATACACTGTGGTGAAATAATTTTTAAAACTTGGACTTGCTACTGTGGAGACTGATGTTTAAAGTTTATAACTGTATAAACATTTTCTATGTCCCCCCACACCATGGATTTCTTATAACATTGGATATATTTTTCCTTGCTGGACTATTCTCTTTTGGATTGACTTCCCCTGTTTGGATTATTTCACTGCATTATCATCTTTAGGATTCGTCAGGAACAGGACATTTCACCTCAGGAGTGCGGGTATGTACTTAATTTTTTTTTCCCAAAATTTCAGAGCAGGTCTATAAAACTAGGGGGAAAACTTTTTTGAAAGGCTAAACATTTATTCACACCTGAAGTGTAATAACAGTAAGAACAATGTAGGTAGCTGTGATTTCTGTTTTTATTCACCGCATAGTACAGATTTAGACTGTCAGTCTCTTGAGTGATTTACTGACATGTAGACTTAGGAATTGTGGGGTTTGAAAACTATTGTTTTTATTTGAGTAAATATTGGTGAAGATCCACAGAACCAAAGGTTCTGAATGTTAAGTAACTTAAATGAGTAAGGAATGAAACTGGTAGAAACCTCTATGTTTTTAAGCCAAATTTCAGTAGTTACCAGCTTCCTTTTTTTTAGACACAAAAATAATTCAGAGGGCTTTTTTCTAGTTTGGGCTGTAATGTTAGGAAGGTGAATGCTACCACACCCTGTATTACGACCAGAAATGTTAACTTTGGGAGATACAGTGTTTTGATCTCACATGATTTTCCACTTAACCTTTATCCATAGAGAACTGAACCAAGACTCTTCTCATCATGAATCTCTGAAAGGGTTTAAAATAATAATATGAGCTCTTGAAATGAATTCTTTTTCTATATTATTTTTAACTTTTATTCTATGAGTTAGGATTCACTGGCAAATAAGCTGGTATGTATCATAGTGCCAAAATGGATGATCACTTGTAGCCAGTAAGATACCAAATAGATGTGGATGAGTTTTTTTAATAATCAAAGATAAGCTTGCAATACTAGCTTTATTAATAGCTTTAATACAAAATCTTCATTAATATAAAATATTTTCATTTAAAATATACTCACTGTCAAGCTACCCTACATTTGAATGTTATCTGGAGATACTTATTTCCAATTTTAGTGGTACTTTTAATTCTACTTGTGCTCCCATATTGGTGCCAAAGCATTTTTTATTAGAATAGCTAGCAAACTAAATCCATATGCTGTCAAATAAATGCAGACTGCCCTCTGGGATAAAATATGACAGTAGTGTTCACTATTTTTATGAAAAGTTTTATAAGTTTTCCCACTGATTATTTTCTTTTACATTTTGAGTTTGATTGTAGGCCTGACTGGGGAGCAAGAGAGGGAAAACAGTAAAGAACAGTGGAACATCTAAACAGTTTAACTTTAAGATTTCCTTAACAGGCAAGTCATACCATTCAAAAAGAAAAGATAAAACAGTTTTATAACCTAACAGAGGGTTTTCTAACACAACCAAATAAATTGACTAAAGTCCTCAATATTCTGAAATAAATTCCTAATATCCTACATAAACCAGTTACTCAATTTCCACAGAAAATATCTTTATTAATAATAAATTTTGTGTAAAACGAAAGAAAAAAAGATTTTGCTGTAGAAAGTACAGGCATACCTCATTTTGCTTTGCCTTATTGAGCTTTGCAGATAATTACCTTTTTTACCAATTGAAGTTTTGTGGCAGCCCTGTGTTGAGGAAGTTTGTTGGTGCCATTTTTCCAATAGCGTTTGCTCACTTCATGTCTCTCTGTTACATTTTAGTGATTCTCAAAATACTTCAAACTTTTTCATTATTATTATATTTGTTATGGTGATCTATGATCAGTGATTATGATTCACTGAAAGCTCAGGTGATGGTTAGCATTTTTTAGCAATAAAGCATTTTTTTAATTAAGGCATGTATACTGCTTTCTTAGACATAATGCTATTGCACATTTAATAGACCACAGTAAGTATAAGCATAACTTCTATATGCAGTGGAAAGCCAAAAAATTCATTTGACTCACTTTATTGCTATAGTCACTTTATTACAGGGATCTGGAACCAAAGTTCCTCCAAAGTTTGCCTGTGCTTTTATAAATAGTCTATTGAAATACAGTGAGCTCCATAGTAACTAGTTCTACCTTCAGCCAAAGTGAATAGGCAGATATTAAATGAGCCATTCTCATTAGGAACCAGGAAACCTTAGCGTATATGGCTCCTCCATGCATTGTCACAATCTACATGTCTTTTTCTCACTTGTAGATCTATTTCCCTCCATTTATACTTGTCTGCTTCTCTTTATATGTCCACTTCTACTACCACTGCCACACCCTCTATTTGATTCTGTGTTCTTCTTAATGGACATGTGTTTCTATTACTTTAAGCAAATTAACTTATTTGCATTTTACTTCGATAAAGCCTCCAGTTGACTTTTTCTTAGAGTTAATGGCTCTTAGTGAAAAATACATTTCTCTCCCCTCAGTAAAACGTAGAATTTTCATTCAAATGAGGGCAATCTGGCCATATTCGCAGTAACAGCTACTCTTTGAGAAAACAGTTGTGGACATTTTGCCAAATTCTGGGTATTTAGGAATTTCTTCATATAATGATAGGCTCTGTTTATTTAAGAGGTAATACCAAGTCATTAATACTGTAGACCTAAAGTAAATAGCTTTTCTTTTTTAAAAGACATTGATTGCCAAATTTGACAGTACTGTCCATTATTAACAATTGTTTTGCTAAAAGTTACACAAAAGAGGCAACCTTTTACCTACTCCTACAGCAGTGAAAACTTTTAAGTTTTTTATAGTCTTCTAGTTGTGCTTGCCTCCAGAACCCAGCCTTTCTTTGTACCTTTCATATTTTGTGTACATGTTTGTACATCTTTATGATTACTAAATGTAGATTTTTTTTTCCCATTTCCCTAGTTTTTTATCTGAGCTTTTCTCATATACTCTTTAATTAGCAGTTCACCCAAGTGTGGAGAATCATATATAGTTAACTCCTTTCATTCTAGAAGGTTCCTTTCACAAATGCAGCCATGTTTTTGTACGTGTTGGGAATTAACTCAGTACTCAGAGGCTGATTTGCTTAGATTCTTAAAATAACATTAATTGTTCTTTCCCCTTTTTTTATACTGCAGGTCTTCCGACCGCGAACTCCACCGGAGGCAATTGCACTGTGTAGTCGTCTGCTGGAATATACACCAACTGCCCGGTTGACACCACTGGAAGCTTGTGCACATTCATTTTTTGATGAATTACGGGACCCAAATGTCAAACTACCAAATGGGCGAGACACACCTGCACTCTTCAACTTCACCACTCAAGGTAATTCCAAACACTTAGCTCTTCTACCATTTCTGCGAAAGCTACACAAGCTACACATGGGTGTGAAGTGATACTGTTAATTAAAATCTGTATAGGACAAAAGTGAACATATTAAGTACTTATGCAGGTAGGAAACATCCTTTCTAACAACTTACTGGGCCACTACTTGTATGGTTTTGAATGAAATAGTGGCAGATAAAATTTTTCAAATAGGCATAGCTTTTCTAATTTTTAGATTATAGTAAATCTTGGTACGTGTGAATCTATAGAGATTTTTCACTAACAAGAATAATATACAATTTAGTCCTCAGATTTGGACATGAAACTTAGAATATTAGCATTTCTTGCTTCCCAAGGATTTATATTAAGATTTTTAAACATGGAAATAAATCAGTGGCTATATTTGTATAAATTCACATACTTTACAAATGCAGAGAGCTAGAGTCCGATAACTCTTAGAGCTTATATAAGGAATGTAGATGGAGAAATTCCCATCCCCTGCAGGGCTTGACACCATTGCTGCTGTCAAGAAAACATTGAAAGGAAAACTGAGTTTGTCCACTAGTGGTTTCTAAAAGGTCCAGGGATACTCATTATTTTTTCACCACTTCTGTGTTTATTTTTCTTCTCTGATTAGGATCCTAAGTAATTGAGTCAGTCACACTGCCTCTGATGGCATGATTTTTTTTCTTGCACTGAATGTCAAAAGAGTACAATTCCTAATAGACAAAACAAGCAATAAATAGTTGATTCATTGAGTGATAGCTTAGTCAAGCTAAAAATATAGAAGGGAGACAGAGCTTTTTATGACCAGGAAATAGATATATTTCCTTTATTTTTAAGGTGAATTTTTCTTCCCATATTTAACTTTTCTAAAATTGAACATGGAAAAATACATTGCTTAAGCTGTAGATTTGAAAAACCTGAGTTGCTAGGAAAATAGATTGGATGGTTCCATTGACTATAATCTTAGACTTCGATGTTAGTTAAGTACTAAGAATGCTGATGGCAGTCTTAAACTACATTCATAAAAGAAAAAAGTTCATATATCCTGGAATGATTAATTCAGACTAGGGCTGATCAGAAGTCATTTGGGGTATTGTTTTAGGTCCTGGCAATGCCATTTTAAGAATATTATTGGATACCAGGTAGGGTATACCAAGGAATGTAACTGAATATAGAAGCTAAAAGAGTGAAGACTTCAGGGACTCCTGAGAGTTGTATGAAAGTATCTCAAAGGCTATCTTTTAAAGAAAGGAATAGATGTATATTCTTTCTCTAGACAGCAAAATTGGAAATAATAGTAGAAAATTAGAAAGTAGAACTTAGCATGATTACTATACAATACAGGGCTCATTATAGGTACTATATTTGGGCACTAATAGATGAATCAATGAAGTTTTCAGTCATTCAAAGTGGAACAAGTATTTTTCAAAATACTGATTCTGTATTAGGAGAAAGCTGAATGATGTCAAATATTGCAGATAAGATTACTCCAGTTTGGCAGAATGTAGATGAAGATATAGATGGGAGACTCTCTTGGCAAAGATTTTATGATTCTATGCCATTAAGAAAATAAATTTTATTTTTAATTCTTATTGCTTTTGTTTTAATGTATTTCAAGAGTAATATATATATAGATTGAGGAAAATGTTCAGAGTACAAAGGAAATACAGAGAAAATTAAAGTCACAATCCCAAAATAATCTCTTACCACTCAAAATAATTACTTTGTAGCATTTTATGGTATACCTCTTTTCAGTCTTTTTTCTCATGTGTATACTGATAATTCTTGCAATATAAAGCCATACTCTATTTTCCTAAGAATCCCTAAAGTTGTTTTATTCATTGTTTGGTTTTTCTTTTTAACTCAAACATATTTAAAGTTATATAAAGGTTAATATTAACTTAGGGATTTTACTTTATTACATCTCATTTTATATAACAATTTTTTATGAGTTCTTTCTGTGCATCTTTTACATCCGTGTCTTTGTAATCAATATAGCTGTTTTTAAAACTATCGTAGATTTTTAGTTACTTCACCTAAATTTTCTATATGAAGCAGTTTTTTAATGTATCTGAGGCAACCATTGGAAATTCTACAAATACCCACTTACATAACATAACGTTTTTTATTCTTTTGTACTGTGGACATATGTTTATTATCTGCACAATGTAACTGTTCACTGGATTGCTTCTTAAAATGGTCTCTAAAATTTAGGCTTTTGTTTACCGTGACATCTAGCACTTGCAAATGTGGAGTGTTGGTATAAAAACTACTAAATTAAGGTTAAATTTCTTATCACTTCTGTCAGGTGACCTTAAAATTTCTCAAACCAGGATTGATTGAGGGATTTTTCACACTGTCTTCTCCAAGGACTGACTTTCTCAAAATAAACAAATCAAGAAAGCACCTTTTCTAGTGAGAACTTGGTGGAAATCCAAATACAACGTATTTATGATAGATACATTTTGGAAAATAATTCTTATATTCAGACATATTTGGCACATACTCTTCATCATATGTGTCCACTTGTACATGTTGATCATCACTGAAATATACCTTACGCCTTTTATTTGATCAGATTTAAAAATGCAGTTTTCAGTTTCACTGTTCACATGCACTGTTTTTGAAGGAATTACATTTGATTCTTTAGTCACTGGCAAATAGCTTTCCATTATTACTAAAGAATATAAAATTTTAAAATAGCTAAATTGGTTGTTCCGTGAATTTCTAAGCTTTTTTAACAAAGGAGATAAAATTTACATAAAGTGAACCATTTTAAAGTAAACCAGCGGCATTTAGTATACTCAACAATGTTCTTTAACCACCACCTCAGTCAAGTTTCCCAAAACACTTCCGATGCTTCTACAGGAAACTCCAGACCATTAACCATCAGCCCTTGTCAACCCCTCTGCCAACTCTTGGCAGCCACCAAGTCTGCCTTCTGTCTCTATGGATTTACCTATTCTGGATATTTCACATAAATGAAATCATGCAATATATTACCTTTTCTGTCTGGTTTCTTTGACTTAGTGTAGTATTTTCAAGTTTCATCCATGTAGCATGTGTCAACAATTTATTCTTTTTTATGGCTAACATTCCACTGTATTGTGTCTTAATCTGTGCAGGCTGCCATAACAAAATACCATAGTCAAGGTGGTTTAAACAACAAACATTGATTTCTCACAGTTCTGGAGGTTGGGAAATCCAAGGTCATGGTGCCAGTAGATTTGGTGTCTGATGAGAGCCCACTTCCTGGTTTGCAGATGGGCCACCTTCTTACTGTATCCTTATCTGATAGAAAGAGATCACCTCTCTTGTGTGTCTTCTTATCCTGCCATTAATCCCATTGATGAAGGCTCTGCCCTCATGACCAGATTACCTCCCAAAGGCCTCATCTCAAAATACCATCACACTGGGGACTAGGGCTTCAGCATATAAATTTTAGAAGGACACAGACATTTAGTTTATAGCATACGGATATATACTACATTTGGTTTACCCGTTCATCTGTGGTGGACATTTGGCTCTTTCTGCCTTTTGGCTGTTTTGAATCATGCTGCTATGACCATTTGCATGCAAGTATTTGTTTGAATGCTTATTTTCAGTTCTTTGGGTTTTGCTGAGTTATATGATAGTTCTGTTTAATTTTTTGAGGAACCAGCAAACTGTTTTCCACAGTGGCTTGCACATTGTACATTCCCACCAGCAATGTACAAGGGTTCCAATTTTCTACATCCTCAACAGTACTTATCCCCCCCCTTTTTAAATGCTAATTATAGTGGGTGTAAAGTGGTATCTCATTGTGTTTCTAAGGTTGTTGCAATATAATGAATCAGGACTTAGTAAATGCTATATACCTATTAATAAATTACACTCATAAGACAGATTAATATGAAAGTACATAGACTTAGATTTTGGAATATGGTCCTCCAAATATTGGGAGGGCTTTTGTGAATGGGCTGTTTTCATACTGTTAATTAATAGAATTAACTAACTTGAATGTCCTTAGAAGCCTCTTAAGTTATGATACTTGAGCTTTGACACAAGGCCTTGTTAAAGTAAAAAAAAGGCACAATTTAAAAAGAATAAGTGATTTAGTTCAAACTTTATTTATGTGTCCATTTACAAGTATTTAAAAAGGAAGATCATTTTATTTTGATATTTTAAATAATTATGTTTTCTCAGAATATCAAACAAATATAGTTCTGTGTATGTCTGAATGTGTAGATATCTTTGAGGATTTGAAGAGTATGTGTATATTTGGATGTGGTATGTGTAGACACAGTGTGCAATTTCTGCAGCTGTCAGTGTTTATACGATTATATAGTTATCAATGAAAAGGTTGTATATTGAGTCTTAATATCTATTCAAATGGACCCGATAAATATATCCTTGAAATTGTTTTTCATGAAACTAAATGTATTAAATTGAAAGTGCCATCATTTTGAGATATGGCCCACCTGTTTTTAAGTATTAAAATGCTCTGTCTTAGCAACTATCTGAAACTGGGCTGTGATCACCTATAGTGCTTTCTCCCTGTCCATCTAGACCACTACTGAGACAGGGACCATGGGTGTAGTCAGAGTAGGGTGAGGGCCTCCGGAAAAAGCAAGGCAGGATATTTACAGTCAGAGCAATATAACAATGTGCAAAGAAGTCCCTATCAAAACTCTGTGTTAACCATTTTGCAAAGTCAAGGTCACACTAATTCTCTAGAGTAAAGATACCAGACTAGGAATATAGACATCTTCAGTGAGATCAGTTAAAGCTCAAAGACCAGGAACAACTTGGCCTGGAATGTTTGAATGTTCCACAAATAAAGAAGGGTATGTCATCATAACCTGTGACCACTGTAAACAGCCCTAGCAAACAAACAACAACCCAGCCCACCTTGGGGGCAGGGCAGGTAGTAAAAGTCCACACTCTAAGCCCTTTATCAGTTCCCCAAAATTCTCAAATGCCTATAAATCCCCTAGACAATGCACCAGCCCAGA